GAAAGAAAGAAAGAAAGAAAGAAAGAAAGAAAGAAAGAAAGAAAGAAAGAAAGAAAGAAAGAGAAAGAAAAAGAAGAGAAAGAAAAGTTAAGGGATTTCTGATTTTTTTAAAAAACAAAATTTAGATTTCCTGCTTCTGCTGGAAAACACTTGCGCGTACACACACACACACACACACACACACACACACACACACACACACACGCCTGGGCTTGATGGTCACTGTTGTCAGGGCAACAATGGGTAGACTAGAACTGCAGCCCTGCCAGCCATGAACCCAGCTCCTACCCACCCTGTTCAGAGTGCCTTGGGAGCCTAGAGCAAGTGAGCACCCAAATCCATGGTGCAGGGTGCAGGAAGCCCTGCCACGCTCTCCCGGGCCTCTCTGAGGGTCTCAGTGACCCAGTTCACCATGTACCTGGCTCTACGGACCCTGGTGGAGGGAGGCCAGGCCCTCCTGGGTGGGGTTCTCCACTCCTCATGCTCCTTCCCAGAGGCCTCAAAGGTCTGTGCCAGGACTCAGACCCCCCACCAACAATGAGCACCTTGAACCCGGCTAGGGATCCCTCCAGGGACCCCAGTATATCTCTGGACTCAAACAAGACCCTGTTTCCCATCCTGGGCTCAGCAGCAATAACCTGAGTATAATGCAGGTCCTTCCTAAGATGTGTCCTGTGATGCAGAACACTTGGGAGCACCGCCCTTCCTTCCTAGCAGGGCTGTACTGCTGAGTCAATGACACTAGCAGAGAAAAGAACTCCTCCCTACAGGCACACAACTTCAGGATGTGTACACCACCTCTCCTGCTAACCCCAGAATGACCTCAGGCCAGAAGCAGTGTAAGACTTTTCTCCCGACTGGGCAAAACATCACAATCACTTCTTAAGAAATAAGAACGTTAAAAATAAACAATGAACACAGAAGGAAGTGCCTCATAGGGCAGTCCCTCTTTTCAGCATCCATAACCCCTTTCTTCCAAAAGTCAATGGCTTTTATTTTTATTTATTTATTTTATTTATGTTTGAGGCAGGGTCTTGCTATGCAATTCAGGCTGGCCTTGAGCTCACTTTGTAGCCCAGGCTGGTCTCAAACTCACCATGATCTTCCTGCCTCAGCTTCCCGAGTGCTGGGATTACAGGTGTGCACCACCACACCTAGCATTTTGCGGGGGTGGGGTGGGGGGGGGTACAGCGAATCGAACTCAGGACCTTGTGCTTGCCAGGAAGGCACTTGTGCCACTGAGCTATATTCCCAGGCAAAAGTCAATGGAAAGAGGAACTTATTTTTTAAAATCTCAAGAGGCCAGGAAAATCCCTGCTTCAGGACAGCATGAACCCTGCAGCCTGCAGAGATACAAGAGTTGATCTGTGGAATCACCAGATCATAATCTGACACCACTGTAGTCACAAGCAAGGTCTTTGGGAAACCCCACAAGAACCAGAAACAGAGGAACCAGAGAACCAGAAAAGAGCCAGAGGGAGTTCTTTGGATCCCAGGGAGACATAATTACTTTACGGAAGGTATCACTCTCCACCTGACCAGAAGGGGGCATCGGGTCCTAAAATAAGATGGGTTAAAAAGAGACTGTGAGCTACCTCTGCAGACACAAGGACGACCTCAGGGGAGAGCACAGGGAGCTCATTGAGCTCCAGCTTTTGGAACACAGACTCCAGTGAACACAGGCAGACTAAAACCGGTGCCTCTGTCCCTGGCTCCCACGCACCCTCGACTCAAGCACCATGGGAAGAACTCAAGCAAGATCAGGACATGGGCTTCTACCCCTTCTTCCCATGAACGAGCAGCTCAGCCTTTTTTAGTGACTGTCCCAGGGCCCTCATCTGTAAAATGGTGATGAGAACACTTTTGGCCAATTGCCAGAGCTGAACGCAACAGGAATAGGGCCGCACTCTGCAGCTCCTGGCCACCAGCATGCCATCGCATAGAGTAATAACAGTATTCAGCATGATCGTCACGAAGTGCTGATACCTGTAACTTTCTCTGCACTAGGAACATCCTAAATGCTTTATGTGCCTTATCTCATTTACTCTGCACAATGATCTAGGTCACCATTGTCCACTAGAACTTTCTATGATAGAATGTTCTAGAACTATCCAATATGGCAGCTGTGAACCCCATGTGGCTACAGAACATTTTAAATGTAGCTATATCTGAGATGCTAAATTTCTTATTTCTTTTATTTGTTTTTTTTAAAATTTATTTATTTTATTTGCAGCACCTGGGAATGAACTCAGGGTCTTCACACTGAGCTATATCCCCAGCCCTTCTTTGTTTTTCTTCTTTATTTTTGAGACACAGTCTTGGTAAGTTGCTCAGGCTGAGCTGGAACTTATGATCCTCCTGCCTTAGTCACTCCTGTGCTGGGATTATAGGCATGCACCACCACATCTGCCTCATTTACTTTAATTTGCAGAAGCACACATGGCATTGGGCTACCACACTGGAGAGCAGAGGTGCAAGAGGTGGGCGTGGATTTTCTCTACTTTATAGATGACAACATGCTCCTGTGCAGAGGTCCATAGTGGGGAACGGGTTTCTCTGATGCCTCCCCAGCAACATTCCCAGACACCCTTGCTAGGTTCCTCCAGAGGCATGACTACTATGAGCAAAGGAACCAGGTGGGCACCATCACATACCGGTTTGGATGGGAAGAGGGCAGCATGAACTGGAACTCCACTACGCAGGTGCCATCTGGGAGCTCCCGGTGCTGCAGGCTGTTCAGCTCGTAGGCGATGTAGCCCCTCCGCACATAAACCTGATAGAGTAGAAACAGCAAGTGGGTGTGCAGGGGACACTGGGATGTCCTACAGTCCCAAGAAAACTCAGGTTGAAGCCAGAAATGATCTCTACACAGTCCCTAAGAAGCCCTGCAAAACATTTTCACCGGGCTTGATAAACTTCCTGTGATGTACAAGATAGCAAACATTTTTGGCTTTGTGGGATGTATCATCTCAGTCGCAACTCTTAGCTTCTGTTGTAGTAGCATGAAAGGAGCCTGAAAGTTACGCAGATGAATGGATATGGTTTTACTTCAATAAAACTTTATTTACAAAAACAAGCAGTGTGTCCCAGGTGGCCCATAGCAGGCCCAAATGGTCTTCACTGAGACCCAGCCAGTACGTTTGACTTCAGGGTGGGTGATTCACAGGGTCTAAAAGATGCAGGGTAGAGAGTGGGGACACAGGGGACAATGACACAGAGCTCAGAGGATCAAGAGTGGAGGGAAAACCACTCTCAGCCACTCTGAGAATATATGACATCACCTCTACCTCCTACAAGAGCAGATTAACAACACAGAACTCCTGAAACTAACCAAATACTTCTTGGCCACCGAACTCAAGGAGAACGGAGCAGGAGCAAGCCCATCTGTCTCTCATGTGTGTTCTGTGACTGGACACACGGTCCCCTTAAGTTGTCACCTAAGCTCCTCTGGCTCTCAAAGCTCCACGTAGAAAGTCTTTCGGAGGCATTTAATGCACGTGAGTGGGAAAGCTTGGGACGAGGTGCCTCAGACTCAGCTCCATGGTTAGTGTTTAGCTGTGCTCTGCCTGCAGGAGGCTGAAATGACACAGGACACAGCAACAGGGGCCAGCACGGATTTTGCAACAAGACAGAAATAGTGTGAATCCTGCTTCTGCCCTTCCTTGCCTCCCTGAGCCTCACTTCCTTCCTCTGTAAGATGGGCACAGTAACACGCCCCACCTTGCCAGGAGAATGGTAAGGTCGTGTTTGCAAGGGGTCAGGGACGTGGTGAGCAGGCAGGGAATGCTTCACCCCACATGCTCAGCTCTGCCGCTGCTCCCTGGGCCTGGCTCCTTACCTCCAGGGATGCCATGCAGACAACCTTGTTCGCATGGTAGAAGAAAGTAGGCAGCACATCAAATATGGTGGTTTCTGAAAGTATTAATTTCTAGCGAAAATGGAAAAGAGAAGAAGTAAATGTGGGTAAGTTTTAACCAGCAGCTGGGGTGGGGGCAGGAGCAGAAGCTGAGGATGTTGCTAGCACTAATTGCAACCAGTGTCGCCCAGCACGCAGGGCTCCTCCTGAGACCGGACAGTGACACCTGGGGATGAGGGCATGAAAGGAAAGCTCTCAGGTTCAGCAGCTAAGGTTGCCTGCACCCTGGTAAATGACTAGAGTCATGAGGGGCGGGGCTGGGGCTGGGAAAACCAGACTTGGCCACAGTAGCCACCTACGGCTTCCAAAGCTCAACTTTTAACACCACACTTGCCAGACAAGCCCTGGGCCTGTCACCCCGTGCCTCCTGCAAGGCCGAGCTCCAACACCACCTTTCCCAGAGCCTCCCTACAGCCCCACACAGCCCTGGCCACAGCCCCGAACCCCCAGACTGGCAGCACCTTAAGGGCGAGAGGAGCTCCCAGTCCCCGAGACCCACATGGGCCCCAATAAGTGCTCTGGGAACACTGGAAGGAAGCAGAGGCCTCACCTTGAGGTTTTCTGGGCAGAACTGGTGGCCGTACAAGTCAATGGCAGACAGGAAGATGGACTCCACCTGGTTGTGCCTCAGCTCATAGGAGGGGAGGTGGGAGGCGATCAGGACCTACAGGGGAGGGACCAGAGGGCTGTGAGGGAAGCCGGTGCGCCAGGGGACCACACACTGGGGGGCAATCACTTTGAGACCCTACCTGCCTGGCTCTGAGGGCCACTTTGCAGTGGTCACTCTTGCTCAGCTGAGTGAGCTCATTGAGGATGGAGGTCAGCTCCTCCGACAGGGAGGGATCCCGGCCACAGAGCTCATCCTTTGGGGGACAAAACAGAATGCAAATGGCTTTTCTCTGCACAGACTGACAAGGCCCCAGCACTCACCTCAGCCAGGGTTGCAGCTGTCCCCCAGCAAGTCAGACTCTGCTCCCAGGACACACTCAGTAAGTCCCTTCCTACAGCATACCCACCCCACTCATTCATTCATTCATTCATTCACTCATTCATTGGTTCATTCTCCCACTCATCTACTCTAAAACATGCTCTCCAGTCCTGGTGACAAGAAAAGTATGACCCTACCCGTAACAGGATGAGTAGTGCTTATTCAAAACACTTGGGACCAGAACTGTTTGGGGTTCAGAGTCTTCTAGATTTTGGAATATTTGAATATACACCATGAGCTATCGCCAGGACAGACTCAGTCTAAAGTTGAAATTCACTTACCTTTTATATCCACCTGATGCCAACAGCCTAAAGATAATTTTATACAGACTATTTATTTAGTGCACCTTCATTTTGTCTGTGACCCATCGCAGGAAGTTGGATGTGGAATTTTCCACTCATGGTGTCATGTGGGTGTCAAAAAAATTCAGATTTTGGAGCATTTCACATCTGGATTTCTGAATTAGGGATATTCTACCATTTATAGCCACTGATTATCAGGTGCTTATTATGTGCTAGACAAGCAGCTAGGTCCTTTATATACATTTCCCCCAATCCTCAACCTTTTGGGGAGTTAATATCATGATGTCTATTTTACAGATGAGGAGACTGAGGCTCAGAGAGGCACAATGCCTTGTCCCAGCGTAGTCCAGCATGTGCAAGCACAGCCAGATTCAAACACAGATCTATACAATCTCTTCTCTTTGCTCTGTGCTTGCTGCCCAGCAAAGGGCTCACAGTTTCACAGCACAGGGGCCCGAGGCTGAATCCTGCCAGATGAAAGGAAGGGATGCTGTTTCGTTCTGCACATCCTGTCTGGCTGCTTCTGAATGAGGTCTCTGCTGGAGACCAGGGCCATACACATGGGTTCTCTGCTTCTGCTCTGTCTTTGCTGCAAGAGGGGCTTGGGAATGCCTCAGAGTAGAAGCTTCCCAAACACCTGCTGAGAGCAGGGCCAGGACTCAGGAACTGCCAAATGCAAAACCCTCCACCAAAGCAGCCAGGACTCTCCCCTAGGAAGCCTCACACATGGCAGGGCCATGAGCTACTTCTACGGTACTGCTGCATTTTCCTAGTTATAGTAAAGCCCAAGATGCCTTCACAATCAACACCTTTTAACATATTGATAGTTCGTACATAGACACCCAGGCATGTCAACGCTGAAGCAATTTCATAGGAAGTCTTTAAAGTCTTCTCTCTGTCTCTGTCTCTGTCTCTGTCTCTTTTGTCTTTTTGAGACAGGGTCTCACTATGCAGTTCAGGCTGAACTTCAGCCCACTTTCTAGCCCAGGCCGGCCTCGAACTCAAAATGATCCTCCTGCCTCAGCCTCCCAAGTGCTCGGATTACAGGCGTGCACCACCACACCTGCCCCATAAGTCTTCTCTTTCTTGTAGTCTGATTTTCTTTGTATGACCAAATAGCTGTGGCCTTACCGTCACTGCCCCTCACCCCCAGCTGGTGGCTCCAAGGACGGTAGTGCACAAGTGCTACCAACAACCAGGCTGGAAGGTTTCTAAGAGACCAAAGACTCAATAGCAGTGTGTGTGAATATTTTAAAGGCCTGGGCACCACGCTCGACATACCAAAGCCCCAGACACTGTTCTATCTTGTTAACTTGGATGATAACTCAAAAGAAGTTCATTTTGCAGTGATGATTCCATTTGACAGTTTTGCTGACAGCTTCCTAGGTACCAGACACCATCCAGTGTACAGAACTTACTCTTGTCTCATGAACGGAACCATACAGCCAGAAAAGTAAAAAATCTCACATAGAACCCCCAAGCCACACCTGGACACTTTTACCCACCTTCACCAAGAGGCCCCAGGCTGTCTTCAGTACAGCATCCTTAGAGGCCACACCCAGGAGAAAGTGCATTTGTGCCCGAGAAGTAATAAATGGCAGAATAGCCCCTGGACCCGCCCTGCCCAGTTTTTCTTTGAAAGTCAAGCTCATTGTAATAGATTATAGTGTACATAGATATAGTGTAAATAGATTATAGTGTACATAGATTATAGTGTAAATAGATTTTAGCAGTGGAATTCTCCCCGAAGAGAAACTGTCTTCTTGGATATAAGTTCTCAGTCCTGGTTGCATATTGCACTTGGGGAGCCCATTCCCCAAGTTAATTTTGAAAAAATTCAAAACTGCGTAAGTATTGAAGGTTGGTATGTTGAAAAATCCTTGTACTTATCACCCTGATTCACTAATTGGGAAACTTTTACTACACTGGTACATTTCATTTTGGTGTAATAAGTATACATGCATAATCAGGCATGTATTCTCTCTCTCTCTGTCTCTCTCTCTCATTTCCTTTTTTTGAAAGTCAGTTGCAGACACCATGATTCTCTACAGTATTTCAGCACATACCTCCTTGAGAAAAAAAGATTCTCCTACCTATATGTAGAACCAATAGGGGGTTGGGGATTGAGCTCAGCAGCACAGTGCCTGCCTGGCAAGTGCAAGGTCATGAGTTTGATTCCCAGTACCAGAAAAAAAAAAAAAAAAAAGAACCAATACAAGACCAAAGAAATTGAACATGAAACCAGCAATATTATCTAGTAAACACTCTATGCGTAAGTTTCCCATTGGGAAAGCTTTCAAAAAGAACACCTCGGCCTCACCTCCAAAGACTCTGATTTAAATGAACAAGGGAGTTTGGGATTCTGGCATCTATATTTTCTTAGTCATACCCCTCACCTCTGCCATGATTGTCACATGCAATCAGGATTAACATCTCCTACACAAAAAGATTATTAAATGATTTTTTATAAAAATACCAACATGTATATACATATCTTATTAGCATGTTAGCTATCCTATAAGCCATGGCCCAAATTCAGCCCACTGAATGTTTTTATACAGAGTCTACCAAAAAAAAGTATACACATTGCAGGAGTTCACTGTATTAATAAATGTCTGGAAGCTAATGGTCACCACTTTGAGCACCTCTGCAATTGTAGAGGCCAAGGTAACTTGCGTTAATCTCATGATGTCTCCATAAATTCAGTACTAAAATATTTATACAAGTTTTTCCTGATGTATACACTTTTTTGGTGGACTCTGTACACACGGTTTTACAGGGACATAGTCACTTCGTCTTATTTACATCGTGCCTGTGACTGCTCTTGGGTGACACGTACGGAACACGCAGAGCTCAGTGGCTGTAACAGAGGCTCTATGACCAAAATCCTGAAACATTTACCATCCGGAGACTTTTATGGGAAAAAACTTGTGAGCCCTCACACTATAAGCCCACAAGTCTCTCCTATTCTGCTGATCCTACATTTTTAAAATAGGTCATCAGGAACAATTTTTTTTTAGGGGAAAAAAATGTTTAACTATGAAAGACTGTTAGCTATTAAGGAAAAAATCTGCAACCACGAATGACTACTAATTGGAATCGCATCCGAAAAGAAATAAGAATGAAGAAACATCTCCCTTTTCAACAAAAGCAAAATAAAAGATGTACCACAAGACACACAACAGAGTGTCCCCTGAGTAACAGCTCATGACTCTGGAGCCAGGCTGTGGATTCAGATCTTGGCATTGAACCTACAAGCTGTGTGACCGTGGGCAAGTGGCTTCACCATTCTGTGCTCTGCCAAAGGAAGGTAAGGACAGTACCCGTCTATTACGGTTGTGTGAGAATTAAAGGAGTTAATACTTCTTTGTGAAGCACTCTCAGAGTGCCTGGCACAGAACAGGTGCTTTGAGAGTATTAGGCACGACCCCCAGGGCTCAGCAAATCCCACCCACCGCCTGTTGTCCCAGTGCTTTGCTGGAGCATAGCCACGCCCACTCACTCACAGGCACATCAGCACACAGAGCACAGGACACGGACCTAGAGGCCAGGACCCACAAATTCTACAATATTTACTTTCTGGCTCTTTCCAGAACACGTTTGGACCCCCCCAACCCAGCCCAACTTGGGGTGCAGAGCCCCTTTCCTGCTTACGATCAGCATGATCACGAGCTGGTTCTTCTTGGCCACCTGCGCATGCGAGAAGATGCAGTCCAGCACGTGCGACATGTTGGGCTTGAACTGCTCCCTGAGGTTTATCACGCACTTGTCAAAGTGCGCTGCAGGGGAGACAAAAGACCACAGAGCTGATGCCTGGGCTTCTCCACACCGCCCCTGCCTCGGGTTCTCACTAGCGCCACCATCGTTGGGGCAGGCTCGGCGCAGGTGCAGTTTCTTACCTTGTTGGAAATGGTGTTCGACTTGCAAGTATTTTCGCAGAAGATCCAGCACCACGGCTTTCAAATAGCCTCGGGTCCCGCTGCGGTACCTGGGAGAAGCGAAGGTAGCTAGGTTAATGCGCATGCTGTGGATACTGAAGCATCCAAGCAGCTTAAGTATTTTTTTAAAAATTTTAATTACTACTATATTTTTTAGCACTACTGGGGATTGAACCCAGGGTCTTTGTATTGAGCTGCATCTTCAGTTCATTTTTATTTTTTTACTTTGAGGCAGGCTTTTATTACATCACTAAGTTGCCCAAGTTGGGCTTGAACTTGCAATCCTCTTGCCTCGGCCTCCCAGAGTGCTGAGAATACAAGTATGAGCCACCATTCCTGAACGTTTTTAATCTTTTATGGTTTTAAAAGGGGGAAGCACTGATTCCACGGACCACAAAAGAAAACAGGAGGAGGAAACAGAGTATCTGGAGGCTGGGCCCTCTAGCCCTTAAGCCTGTGAGGACATGGAGCCAGGACCTTGTCACCATCTCTGCAAGCCGCAGACAACCATGACTTTTTGTCCGTCAAGCTGGAGGCCTTCACAATGAGCTAATTCCCAGCTCTTTTATTTTTTTGAGTGAGAGAGACTGTTGTTCAGGCTGGGCTCAAACTTGCAGTCCTGCTGCATCAGTCTCCAATAGTGCTGGGAGAACAGGTGTGGCTTGTTGTGTTCCCCCCTCCCCCAACAAGGTCTCACTGTAATATCCCAGGGTAGCCTTGAACACACAATCTTCCTGCCTCAGCCTCCAGAGTAGCTGGGATTACAAAGATGCTCCACCATACCTGGCTTGTGAAGTGTTCTTCATTCTCATTTATCAACTAATAGACTGAGACTCACAAAAGTCAAATCCTGGGCCCCACTTTTCATAATGGTAGTTCTAGGACCATACTATACTTTTGATCAGTATGAGCTGGCCCCATGAGAACTAAGGGAAGTTCTCAGAGTCCAGAATGCTGACCTTTATACAATGGGGCCTAAGGGAAGTTCTCAGTATGTGAATTCAGTGTGACAACCATACTTAGAGCCCCACGACTCACCTCTGGACCAACTGCACAATGCTCTGGGTATTCATGAAGAAGACCTCACGGTCAGCCTTGCGCTGCAGAGTGGCCGCGTGGCAGTCCAGAATGGTGGCTATCTGGAGAGGAGAACAAGACAGCTCTGACTGCTGACAGCCACATAACCCAGAGGCCACATGGTAGTTATTAGAAAGACCCACCACCACGGGCTCCCAGGATAGTCCCATCCGGGGTTCAAGGACCAAAAATTCTAACTCTGAAGCTATCTGACCACACTGAAAAAGCCCTGTTTAGTCCCTCAGTGTACTGCCGGAAGAAATCAAGGGCTCAAAGTGACAACCACAGTGAGGAACACGACAAGGAATATCACTATTCTTGTTCAACACAGCACTCAAAACATTAGCAAGACCACTTTGCCAAGAAAAAGAAATAAAAGGGATAAGTTTAGGAAAGGAAGGAGCTGCATTATAATTATTTGCAGATGATATGATCCTCTACATAGAAGACCCAAAAAAAGTCCACCCAAAGAATCTGAGAATTAATAACAAAATCCAGAAATATAGCAGGATACAAAATCAACACACAAAAATCAATAGTATTGTTGCACACTAATGATGTACTCCCTCAGAAAGAAATTAGAAAAAAGACCCCTCACAATAGCACCAAGAAAAAGTAAGTGCATTGGAATTAACCTAACTAAGGCAGTGAAAGACCTCTGCAAGGAAAACTACAGCACTCTGAAAAAGGAAATCAAAGAGACATTGGAAAAAAAAAATCCCCTCTTCCTGGATAGGCAGAGCCAATATAGTCCAAATGGTCATACTTCCAAAACTGACACACAGATTTAATGCAATCTTAATCAAAATACCAACAGCATTCTTCAGAGAACAAGAGAAAACAATCCTAAAATTCATATGAAGCCATAAGAGACCCAGGTTAGCAAAAGCAATTCTGGATAACATGAGCAAAGCGGGAGATATCACAGTCCCAGACTTGAAGTTACATTACAAAGCTACTGTGATAAAAACAGCATGGTACTGGCACAAACACACATGTGAATCAGAGGAACAGAACAGAGGATGCAAAAATAACCTCAAGCACATTTAACTGCTTGCTCTTTGATAAAGGAGCCAAACATTGACACTGGAGGAAAGAGAGCCTCTTCAATAAGCGGTGTTGGGGAAACTGGCTATCCACATGCAGAAGGTTGAATCTAGACCCACATCTCTCACCATGTACTAAACTAAAACACAAATGAACCAAAGAATTAAATGTTAAACAAAAACACTTAACCTACTGGCAGGTAAAATAGGGAAAACTCTTAAAGTCATAGGTATAGGCAAGGACTTTCTGAATTGAATCCCAGTTGCACAGGAAATAGTACCAAGGATCCACAAATGGGATCATATCAAATTAAAAAGCTTTCACACAGCAAAAGAAATCCAGTAGAGTGAAAAATCAACCTATAGAATGGGGAAAAATTTTTGCTATTTCTAAGAGAGACAACTAATACCTAGAATATATCAAGAACTCAAAACATTAGACCTTCCCAAAATAAAAGACCCACTCAAAAAATGGACAAGTGATATGAATAGATACTTCAGAAATGACCAATAAACACATGAAGAAATGCTCAACATCACTGGCCATTAGAGTGATGCAAATTTAAAACAACACTGAGATTCCATTTTACTCTAGAAAGAATGGCTGTCATCAAGGAATCAGATAACAAATGCTGGCAGGGCTGCAGGGTGGTAGTGGGGAACACTTATACACTGTCGGTGGAAATGTAAATTAGTACAACCACTATGGAAATCAGGGTGGAGATTCTGGAAAAATTCCATTTGACTCAGCTATTCCTTTTCTAGGTATCTTCCCAAAAGTTAAAAAGACATCATCCTACAGTGATACATGCATACTTAGGTTTACAGCAGCACAATTCATATAGCTACATCTTGGACAGCCTATATTTTCATCAACAGATGAATGGACAAAGAAAATGTGGTATTTATGCACAATGGAGTACTTCTCTGCCATAAAGAAAGATAAGCTTGAGTCATTTGTAGGAAAATGGATGGCCTTGAGACCATAACATAACAGACACACACACTTAAATATTTCATGGTTTCTCTTATATAAGAAATTCCAATGATAAATATAGAGCAAAATACAAGGTAGATAGTATGAAGTAGGGAAATAGATCTTATTCAAATGGGAAGGGGATAAAGCAAGGGAGGGAGGGGAAGGAAGGGGAGGGAAAGGGGATGAAAAAAGGAATTCAGGTGTGCTATATATGTGTACCAACTCTGCATAAGGAACATAAACATTATGTACCACAAACAAATACTAATAAAAAACCAGTAAAAATCACACAGAGGTAGCCATGTTTTATTATATCTCTCTGCAAGTGAAACAGGATGCAGAAAGAGAAGGAAATTTCCAACATTAGCCAAAAAATGTGCTAGGGAGGGAGCAATTAGATTTGCTATCAATGGTAAACTGCTTCTGGCAAGAAAGGCGTTTTGTCTGTTTGCTTGGTTTTTTTTGCAGTACTGGGGATTGAACCCAGAGCCTTCACACTGAGCTACCCCTCTGCAACCCTTTTCTTATTTATCTTGAACATGATCTTGCTAACTCCTGCCTCAGCCTCCCACAGGGCTAGGTTTGCAGGCATGTGCCACTATGCCTGGCTTGGTTTCCATGTTTAAATATTGGCAGGCATACACAGGGCTCCAGGACTATTTACAAAACCCAAAAGAGACCATCAACAGTGTGACCCAGTGACAGAAACTTGCAATTCCCCTAATGATTTCAGCCAGTCTAGTGTTTGGTAAGTGCTTGCTCTGTGTGCACCAGTGGCTGACTCCGATTCTGAATCTGAGCTTAGTGGAGCAGGACCTAGGGACTGTGGTGCTGCCTCCAAACAGTTGCTGCTTGGCAGAAAATGCCGGGACACTGCAGAGAAGGCATGGGAAAAGAGCCAACGCAGGCCCCCACGGTCTGGACTGTGAGGGGGCCTCTAAAGCTCAACTTGACTCGGGGCTGGATCCGGACACAGCGCACAGCAGGACTGGCTGGGTACGTACCTGCTGGCTGGGGAACTGGCAGAGGACCGAGGTGATGTTGCTAGCATACTGGGCCATCACCCTGCGGACCGCCTTCTCCACGGGGACGGGGATGCGTCCTGCCACGCTGGTCATGATCTCCTGCAGCTCCAGCAGCGGCAGCGACGGGTGTCGGAGGGTCATCATGAGCTTCTGCACCCACTCTTTCAGCTGCAGTGGGGACCAAGCATTGGCCTGTGGGTATGGGTGCTGCCACCACTTCAGACAACCAACTCACCCTGCCCAGGCTCTGGGCACTCGAGTGGCCCAGGTTCTAGATCTGAAGCTGTTGGAATGACTTTGGATGGCCCTGGGCCACAAGAGGAGTACACAGTGTCCCGTAGGGAGGGTCCTGCTCGTACTTGGTGCATCCAAAAAGCCAACATGCTAAGGGGGTAAACACAAGGTCATGCAGTGAGCTAACATCTGTGCATCACTTGCTCAGTGCCAGCCAGTGCTGAAGACCTTGTTTACATGTTTTCATCTGATCCTCAGGAAGAACCCTGCCAACTAGGTGTAATGATTAGTTTCCTTTCACAGTTGAAACTTAAACACAGAGAGGTTAATAAAGTTCCTCAAAGTCACACGGCTACTAAGAAGCAGACCCAAGCCACTGAGCTCCTGAGCCTCTAACAGCCATGCTATATGGCTTCCAGGATGTAGCTGCTGCGAAGATCTTTGGAAGGAGATGATAATAGTGTCATCCCCAAAGCAAAGAGAGGTTTAAAAGTGAATCGATGCATATGACAGCCAGTACAAAGACTAAATAAATGTTGTATCCATAGCAACCACCTTTAGGCAGCATCATATAGGGACTTAAAACACAGACTTTGAAGCCAGATGGCCAGGGTTTGGATCCTATCTTTGCCTCTTCATGCTCTAAACATGGCAAGTTTCTTAGCCTCTCTGTGCCTCTATGGCCTCAACCTTAGATGGAAGTCACACTTCCTACCTCACAGGCTGCTGGAAATCAAACGCCCAAGTAAGTTTCCAGTACTGAGAACAGCGGCTGGCACACAGGATGTCCCAGGCAAGGGACCCTCACTACCATCACCCTCGCCAGCATCACTGTGTCTTGCTGCAGTGGGATGGAACAGGACGCAGCACTCAGGGTGACCCTCAGTCATGGTACACTTAGCACAGGGTCTTTCCAAGGAGGTCCGCCAAGTGCAGAGCTCCTTGTTTCTCTGCAGAGGGGGCAGACGGTGGGACCTGGGATGGCAAATGGCAAGGGCAGCTGTTTGTGGACAAAGCACCTTGCTCGTGGCATCTCTAGGAGGCTGTCCCACACTGACTCCCTCCCTCACTTCCTACTTGAACAGGCTGTCTCAGGGCTGGACTGAACATAGTCCCTGTAGCCTACAACAGTTAATCATCAATGAGAATATTCATGCTCAAGTTTGCAGTCAAAGAGAGGGATTCCCTGAGGACAGGTCCCTCACAGACACAGCAGGACTCACCAGTTTCTCATCTGTTGCCTCAATAAAGCCCTCTGATGTTATGCAGTAAAACCTGCTGGCTGCACAAGACCCATCCACATCTGCTCCTTGCAGGTGACTCACCTTTCTGCTAAAAAAAGGCTCCGGCAGGCAGTAGCCATTCATGACATTGGTCAGGTTGTCCAGGACACTGTGGAAGACCTGGTGCAGCTTCTCTCCAAGGATGGGGAGGGTCTGCTGGGCAGGGAGCGCCCCCATGAAGGGTTCAGCCTGATGAGACATAACAAGCACAGGTCACGGAAACCGTGCAACTCGGCAGGAGATGAGACAAACCAGGGGACTAGGCAGATCAGCCAGTTTGCACAACTAAGGAAGAACAAAGCCTGAGAAATAACAGGAAAAAAAATATCACACTGGAAGTTAAAATTGCAAAATTCATCTCCTGATCCAGGTTTTCCAGCTCATTACTGGATGAACGGATAAATAAAATGTAGTATATACATTTCTCTCAGCAAATGCAATATATTCAGTGGAATACTATTCAGTCCTAAAAAGATAGGAAATTTGACACACAGTACAATCCAGATGAAGCCGGAGGGATTATGCTAAGTGAAATAACCCAGTCACAAATGGACAAATACTGTTTGTTTTCCCCTTCTAGGAAGTTCCTAGAAGAGGCAAATTCATAGGGACAATAGTAGCATGGCAGTTGGTAGGGGCTGGAGGTGGAGGGTGTGGGGAGTTGATGTCAAAGGGCATGTGAGTTTCAGTTTTACAAGAAGAGAGTTCTAGAGATGGATGGTTGTCCAACAGTATGGACTACTTAACACGCTGAATGGCACGTTTAAAAATGGCTAACATGGTTAGTTTTATGTTACATATACTTAAACACAATTATTAAAAGAAAATCCAAGGAAATCTCAGTAAAACAGGGACTTTAGTTAGTGACAACGTATCTACATTTGGGCCAGGCAATGGTGGCACATGCCTATAATTCCAGTACACTGGGAGACTGAGGCAGGAATATTACAAATTCAAGCCCAGGCAATTTAGTGAGATCTTGTCTCAAAATAAAAAGTAAGAAAGGGGCTGCAGATATAGCTCAGTGTGAAGGCCCTGGGCTCAATCCACAGTATTGCAAAACAAAATGAAATGAAAAAATAAATGAATCCATACAATCACAATAATAGTTAAATTAATAGTAGTTAAGTAATAATAATTAGTTAATTTTAGAGATAAATTAATGACTAATTATTAATAGGGCGTTTCAGTGCAGGGTATATGGGAACCCTAGATACTATCTATGTAATTCTTCTGTAAACCTAAAACTAAAATAAAAACTATTAAAAACAAAAAAGGTAGTCAAGAGCATCTCTCATGGGTGGCACTAGAGAAAGTCTGTGGGCGTGAGGTATCCTTGGGGATGTCCAGGCACAGGTCCTGCTGGGCACAGGGAGCAGGCTCCAGGTATGAGAGGTTCAATTAAGCTAGAGGGAGCAGGATAAAAGAGGAAGCCAGACACATGGCTGTAATTCCAGCACTTGTGGAGGCTGAGGCAGGAGAATCCTAAGTTGGAGCCCAGCCTAGGCAACTTATCAAGACCCTTTCTCAAAATAAAAAACAAGAAAAGGCTAAAGATGTTTCACACCACCACATTGGCTGCTGGGATTAACGTGTCTGAGGAGGACAGCAGAGGCAGGAGCCTGAGAACCTCTAGCCTGCTCGTCTCTGCACGGGGGTAGGCCGGGAAGTCACCTGCAGCAGCCAGCGCTGCTGAGACAGGGTGCCACATACCGGGTGCACTTTAGAAGGGTCATCGAGCTCCAGCCTGGCCACCACGCAGCCAGCTTCCAGCATGGCTCCTGGACGCTTGATGTAGTTCACCACACCACTCTCCTGCACGTTCAGGGTCATGATCATCTTCATCACCTGTTTTGCAAAAAGAACTAGGACAGAGCCCCCAGGACTGACCTGTATGTGGGGCACCCAGAGTAACCCAAAACTAGTGACTCTGGAGCAGGGGCTGTGGCAGGGGAGTAGAGTGACTCTCTGGGCAATGCTCAAGCAGGGAACACAGAGAAAACCTTCACTGCAAGCCTGCTGTGTACCAGACACAGTTCACAAATGATCTCCATCTGCAAACCCCACCTGGAAGGCAGAGCTGATTGTGCCTATTTCACAGATAGGGAAACTGGTAGTTTTTTTCAGAACTGGGGATGGAACCTAGGGCCCCATGCATGCTAGGCCTGGGCTTTGCCACTGAGCTATGTTCCATCCCCCTTTAATTCCAAAGGAAGACCTCTCTTTAGAAATATAATTAAATCATACTGCATAGAGTGACTAGTGCACAGTCCCAGGCAGCACAATGATGTGTGGTCCTCGTGGACCTTGTAGACGATGGTAGTACCATTACAGTAGAAAGAAACTGGGCAATTCCTATAACCTACTGACGGTGTAGCTGCCCTAATATCAGGGTGCAAAGCATTACTCACATGTGAGTAGTGATGCTGACGTGAACAAACCTATTGCACTGCAGCCATATAAAAGTAGAGCTCAATTATGTACAGTACATCATACTTGATAATAATAAATGACCAAATGACTGCATGGCTGGCTTAGGTACTACTATACTATACGTTTTACCACTATTTTACAGGCTACTCCTCCCACTTATGAGAGTTGCTGTAAGACATTCTGCTGTGTGACACCAGCAGCAGCATCCTGGTTTGCATGTTCAGAGACCGTATGGAGGGATAGACCTATACACTTAGGGTATGGCATTTGCACATTGAAGAAATAATTGCCCAAGGGCAGCAGGTCACTGCTGTTCGTGGTTGCCACTGCCATATTTCCGCTGCTCTCATCACCTACCTTGGCAGGCAGCACAGGATTGAGGCCAGGTGTGAGTCTGGGCTCTGTGTGATGCTGAGCAAGTTCTCAAGCTTTCCTAGCCCGACTCATTCGTGCAGGAAATGGGAATCACGTCTGTGCTCATTTCATATGACTGCTGGGCAGATGCTTGGACCAGCACTTGCCGTACGTTGAGTGCTTTGCAAGGGTTGGCGTAAAACTTATGTTTTCACACACTGAGAATTAAATCTGGGGCATGCTGAGCTACATCCCCAGCTCTTTTTTTTTTTTTTTTTTAAATTTTGAGCCAGGGTCTTGCTAAGTTACCCAGTGGCCTTGAACTTGTGATCCACTTGCCTCTGCCTCCAGAGCAGCAGGGATTATAGGCTGGACCACTGAGTCTGGTGGCTTAACAGGTTTTCATCAGCATCATCATGATTGCTAATCAGTTCTTCGCTATTCCTACACTGTTTGAGGCTTTCCCTTTGACAATTGCAGAGAATTTGGGCTGCATCCCCCCGACTGCCTCTCTGAGGAATCTGCAGACAGTGGCTGGGTTGAGAGGTGAGGCCTCTTTGCTGGGAGATTGATAATGGCAGGGGAGCAGGGGTTGAAGGCTGTGGACCCACACCACAGGGACACCACGCAGTCACCTCTATCTCAGCGTAGCTGTTCCCTGCTTCCACATGGCCCCTGTCCTCCACCGTGTACTGGATCAGCTTCCCAGCTGACAAGGACCTCAGGACGGTAGGATCATTCTCCTTCTCAAACACGCACGTCTTGTTGCCAATGGTGATTCGGTAACTGCGGGGAGGAGCAGGGCAGGAAGACTGATGAAAGCCCTCAAGCCATGCTGAGTCAGGCTTCCCAGCGCATCTCCCTTTCCAAAGCCAGCATGGGTGTCACCCTCGGCACGGTGTTAGGGACTCTACACTCCCAAATGGTGGCATTGGACAGTTATCACAGACATGCTGAAAATGAGTACAATGAGCAAAATATGAAGCTCTTTTCTGGTTCCTTTTTGATGCAATCCCAACTGACCCTGGCACAGAAAAATCAATCAATCAATATTATTATTGTAGCTATTCTTGGTACTGGGGAATTGAACCCAGTCATGCTCTACCACTGCTCTACATCCTCAGTCGTTTTTGTGCTTTTTGCATTTTGAGATAGGGTCTTACTAAGTTGTCCTGATACGACTTGAACTCATAATCATCCTGCCTCAGCCTCCTACAGTGCTGAGATTACATGTGTGGGCCACCATGCCTAGCTCTCTAATCATCTTGAATATTACCGGAAGCTAGAACATGAGTTAGAAAAGAGATAATAAATGCTGCCCAGGTATAACTCGAATCTATCTTCTTCTAAACACTGAGGCTGCAGAGGTCTCCCCTACCCGGTACCTTTCAGAGGCGTGGCCTCTGGCATCTGTGCACACACACGGGCACATGTCCCTCCTACACGTATTCACTTTCACACATGCCACCCTTCCTTCTCCTTGGCCAAGGGCTGTGTTTTCTGCTCTACCCAGGTCACCTACAGGTCAGTGTGGCTGGACACCCTGAAGCTGGAAGGTGTGTAGAGCTGGTGCATGATGCCTTTGTGCCTAGAACTTCCAGACCATCTGCCTCCACCCAGCAGCCTTTCCTGCTACCTTCCATTAATGCATCACCTTCAGAGAGGCTCAGAGCTCCAGGAGCTTCAGCCAGGGTACTCCCCAGACCCTGGCTCCTTGACTGCCTGGAGTAGCTCAATAACCGACTGCTGGATGTTGTGTGTAATCCACACCCGCCCTGCACGGTTGCAGATACGGCAACCCAGACATGGGGGGCAGCAGACACCTCACTATACATCTTGCAGCCATGGAGCTGAAAGTCATGTCCCATTTGGGTCTAAACCCTCCCAGGTCACTAGAAAGGTGACCCGGGGCCCTTCCTCCATGCCTGCCAGGGGCATGGAATCTCAGCCGGGAGAGAAAACATTCCAAGTGACCCCAGAATTTACCAGAGGGTCTTATCTAAGACTCTCAGGCCGGTACCCAGCTAGCTTTCCATCCTTGAACCCCCACCCGCCCCAGGAGAGCGGTGCCCAGTGCCCACACACCTGTCCACCTCTTCCTTCATGTACGTGGTGTAGCTGCTGCCATTGTACGACAGCAGCAGCCCCCCATCATTCAGCTGGTGGGCGTCGATCTCAATGTAGCTATCATTCATGATGAGGACAAACATGGTCAGAGACTGCCGGGCCACCTGTGGGGACAGGTCCGTGTTGTAAGCTGGATTCAGGACGCGCTCTTCTTGCTATGACAGCAAGCAAGGGCTGACTGTCCACTGTGCAAGTGGAGGACTGGATGCCTCCGTCTCTGTAGCCCCGGTCCTCATGCCCCTTCAAGGCAGTGGGCACAGTGAACTGAAAACGGCCTGGCGTCTGAGCCCCACCTGCCCCACAGGTGGACACATGACTGCCGGCTGCAGACACAGGCCTTGTCCAGCCATGTTTCATCGTGTGTCCTCTGGAGCCAGGGCTTCTTCATCATTCCTGCCACCAAGTATCAGCCCCAAGCAGGGCCACCGCAGGTAGGGGCTACGTGAGGGCACCCTGAAGACTCTACAATAGTTTGGTGGACTGTTCATGTGTCCGTGGTGTCCTGTGTTGAAACCTAACCTTGAATATGATGGTAGTAGGAGGTGGGGACTTTGCAGTGATAGCTCATGGGCTAGGGCCCCCACGAGTGGAATGAGTTTCCTGAGAAAGGCACCCCGAAGAGTTTCCTCACCCCATTCCGCCATGTGCGGCACAGAGAGACAGACAGCATAGCTAGGAACCAGGAAGCGGGATGTTACGTTTTGGATTGGCAACGTCCCCACAAAGCCTCATGGGCTCAGAGGTGCGGCTTCGGGAAGATGGCTGTGTGATGAGGGTGCACAGCTGACTTGCGGGTAGGAGGTCGGGCCTGGTTAGGTATGGCTCTCTGGGGGTGTGACGTGAAAGGCCGTATCTCCCTCCATGGTTCTACCCTTCTCTCTCCCTCTGCTTCCGGCTGCTGGGATGTGAGCAAGCTTTCCCCCACCAGACCCTGCAGTATGCCTTCCTGCCTTGAGCCGGCCAACTGTGGACTAACAATGCGAATCAAAACCAACCTCTCCTCCTTTAAGTTGTAGGTGTTGTATCCCAGCAATGAGGAAAGTGACTAAGACACGGTTCGCACCAGACACTGCAATGATGGCTGCCTTAATCTTGGATTTTTCAGCCTCCGGAGCTGTGAATGGGTCCGTTTGGTCGTTTAAAAGCCACCAGACTACGTTACCTTATTACGGCAGCCCGAATGGAGCAAGAGACCCGAGCATGGACTGTGGCACTGCTCCCAGACCCAGCTCTGCCCGGGGCCACACAAGAGACCTGGGGCGCTTGAGAAAGGCCCGTGGGCCAGGCCCCAGCCGCACTCTGTGCTTGATCCAGCTGGAACACCAGCTCCACCTCAGTCCGTCACGTAAGTTCTCTCTCAGAAAACAGACACCCTAAACGGCCCTCAGCCAAAACACCTATTTTGTGACAAAAGACAGCAAAAAGTATGGGAATATGTATTGCAACATTATTTGTAATAACAGTAAAAATTGCAATTAAAATAGGTATCCAACAACTCCAGACCTGCACTGTGCTATCTGGTTAAGTCCTATCTACGTGTGGCCATTTACATTTAAAAGAAAGGCAATGTAAAGTCCAGTACCTTAGTCATACTTGCCACATTTCAAGGGCTCAGTAGGCACATGTGGGCAAGTGTAGATAAGATTTCCGTCACTCCTAAAAATCCTATTAAGCAGCTCTACAGACACCAAACTGACGTTACAGAACTCTTGTTGTCAGGCATGGTGGTACACACCTATAATCCCAGCTACTCAGGAGGCTGAAGCAGGAAGCTCACAAGTTCAAAAACCAGTCTGGAAAGCTTAATGACTTAGTGATACTCTGTCTCAAAATAATTTTTTATAAATGGGCTGGGAATGTAGCTCAGGGATAGAACACTTGCCTAGCATACACAAGGCCTTAGGTTCCACTCAGTATTACAAAACACAAAACAAAACAAACTTGTTCACCACATGGGAGAACTTTATGCCATGAAGTAGCAAAGCAATTGTAGAAGAAGATGCCCCACCCCAGCCAGTATACTTCAGCTTGTTTTTTGACCAGGTAATAGTTTCAGTTACAATTCTTCTTACTTTTTCTTAGGAAAGGCTGGTCACTGTGACGCATAGCTGGTCACTATGATGCATATTGAAAGAACCAATCCCCAACGGACAAGCCATTCTGCCTCCGTACTTCCTGTTTGCTTATCCCATCTAAGCCCTAGACCACCAGCGATCAGGGCCCAATATTCTGGGAATGATTCCGATCAGTGCCCGTCGTGAAAATAAACCTCCAAATCCTGGGTGTCTTCCAGTGTTTCTGCTTGCCGTAGGGCAGTAACAGTTTCCAGCCTTATAAAAGCAGTGCATACGGAGAAAGAAGTAGCTGAAAGAAATCTGCGAACATGTTCACAGACATAGCTTCCAAGCTAGTGAAGAGTAAATTTGGTATTGTGATTCCATGCGTCTGTTTGCAATTTTTAACAGTTTTCTACAACGAGATTGTGCCACACTGTTATGGCTTAGGTCTAAAATGTCCCCCAAGTGTCTCCTGTTTGGAGGTGGGGCATAGTTGGAGAGGCTGGGTCATTGGGGTTGTGACCTGGAAGGGTGTACTCTTGTCCCTGGCTCCTTCCTTCTCTCTCTGCTCGCTGGCTGTTATGGGGTGAAGCAGCTTTTCTCCAGCCGGCTCTCCCACCATGCTGCTTCTGCTTTGAGGCAAGCTCGCCATGGACTGAACCCACTGGCAATGCTCTCCTCCTCAGACTGGAGGGTGCCAGGCATTTCTCAGTGACAAGAAAGCCGACATATTTAAAATGAAGTCTGTGGGGCCCTGATGTACATAGATAGCCAAGAAGCACTGGGGTCAAAAAGGGAGAAGAGTGAGAAAGAATCCCATGACAGCACATTCGTTTGGCTGAACTAAAAGTTGAAAACTCCATGTGTATTCAGCAATATTAAAAATAAAGCAAAAGGAAATAAAGTCTGCAAAGCACACTTAAAACTCTGTCCTCTTTTCCCAGCCAAGAACATGAGCCTGCAAAATGATAAAGACAGCTCTTGACTTTCAGGGGACAATTAGCTCCTGTAGCTGCCCTGGAGCCCCAAACACCAATGCCACAGCTCCTCCACCTCTGGTGGACTCCAGGCCCCACACCGAGCCGTCACATCTCGGGTATCTCTGCCCTACACTGACCTCAAGTGGCCCAGGAAGGGTAACAGGACACTTCCAACAGGGGACAGCAACCAGAGGAAGCTCCACAGATACTGGTGATGACAGAGGAAAGAGACCAGAAATCCATTCATGGGTTCTTGGCATAGCCATGCAGCCCCTGTGAATGAACCTGCACCACTGTTCCAGCTCAGCAAAGGTTCTGTTTACACTCGGTTCTGGGTGGAAAAGTGCTGCCCAGAACTCACAAGTTGTGGAACTTCGGAATGTGAGCAGGTTTGGAAATCAGATCTGTGCAGATGGAACCAGTTCACATGAAGTCCTATTGGACTGGGGGGTGTGGTGCTAAATTCAATGTGCTAGGTGTTCTTATTAAACGAGAAGAGACAGGGGCAGATACAGGAGGACAACAGTGTAAGGATGGACACACACACACACACACACACACAAAGGGAAGACAGCTGTGAATATGGAATCAGAGGCTGGAGTAATATATCAACAAACCAAGAACCATGGAGGATGCCAGCAACCACTGGAGGCCAGAGGGGCCTTTCCCTATGCCTCTGGAGGGCCCATGCTCAGCTGACAACTGGATTGCCTTTTGGCCTCTAGGAGAGAGAAAAAATCAACTTCTGTTGTGTTGAGCCACGAGTTCACAGCGCTTTTTACACAGCCGCAGGAGATGAACTGATGCTCCATCATGATCTCTGCCTCTCAGCCAGCTCTACACATTCCGAAACCCAAGGTCGTGAACTCCAAGGGGATCCCCAGGGAACACAATTGCTCGGGTCCAGGCATGAGAAAATCCTCTCTAGGGATGGCTCATGGAAGAAACACAGCAAACTCCCTGAAGCCGCCGGAGGATTGCGAACATGGGAGAAGCCCAAGGACCTTTACCTTCAGAATGTACTTGACACCTCCATAAATCAACTCCACATCCACAATGTTCAGCAGAGAATCCGCTGGGAGGACCTGGCCTCTGAGAGAGAAGACAGAGCTGCTGTCAGCCTAGGAAGGGACTGAGAATGCCATACCCTGTAATTCAAAAGTATCACCAGGGGCTGGGGGTAGCGCTCAGTGGTAGAGTAGATACTAAGCATGCACAAACCCCTGGGTTCTGGGTTCTATCTCTGGCACCACAAAGAAAAAAATCCAGCTCTTTGCTCTTCCCAACCACCAGCCAAGTGGATTGTGCCTAAAACCTAACAACTCTGATTAAAAAGCACAGGACATAGATCTTGCCAAGGAACCTGGCTTCCTCAAAATGTAAGGAATTGTTGAAGGACATGAGATTTTAAAAAGCTTTTTCAGGTTGAGCGTGGTGCCACATGCCTGTTATTCCAGTACACTGGGAGGCTGGCGCAGGAGGATGGTAAGTTCAAGCCCAACCCAGGCAATTTAGTGACTTAGTGAGAGCCTCTCTCATCCAAAATAAAAAAGGGCAGGGGTTGTAGCTCAGCGTGAAAGTCCTGTGTTCGATCCCCCTACCACAAAGTAAATGGACATATAAAACAGCTTTTTGGGAGCAAAATCCATAATGGCTCCATCTGGGGAAAATTCCCCATGTGGGACCTGCCTTCTGTCGTGAAAGAAATCAGTACAGGGATAAAGACTTCATTACCACGCCAAAGCACAATAGCCCCATCACTGAAAATGTTTATCCTTTATTCTCTTCTTCCTAGTTCACTTGCCTGTCACAGTAGTTCTCAATCAGGGGCAACTTTGTCCCTACTCCTGGGTCACGGGAGACGTAACAGTCTCGACTCAGGGAAGGGCTGCTCCCGGCATCTAGTGGGCAGAGGCTGTGGATTCTATCATCCTACAGGGCACAGGACAGCCCCGCCCCCATGGCCCAGCACAAAGCGCCACCGGAGTTGAGGTGCGAGTCCCAGCCTATCCATCGGGTACCTGGTCACTTTCCATTTTAGTCCTTTTCACTGGTCACCTTGAGATTCAGGTACGGGTCTGAGAAAGAGGCTCTCAGGAGAGATGACCTTTGGCCTGCTCTGCTTCTCCTCCCACCTTTCCCTTCCCTGAATTCTGAACTCCCGAGCACTACCTGTTCCTTACACAAGGCAGCACCAGCCTCCCAAGGACTGCCTGCGAAGTGACTGCTGCCTCGGGCTCAAGCAGCCTACCTGCTCCCACCCCTCCCCCTCTTCCAGGGTGGCTCGGGTTTATCCGCGGGACTTCGCAGAGGTAAACTGGTGGGAAGGGCTCATCAACTGCCTGGTGACTGGTTTGCCACTGAAAGCACAGCCTGCTCTCTGCACCACCCATACTTAACACATCATAGAGGCCCCACCTTTCCAGAGAGTGCAAGAAATCCGTCATGCATGTTCTGAACATCACATCTGCCACGTTCAAGGCCCCGCACACCACCCCGAGCATGATGTCCGGCTTCTCCGCCTAGGAAAGACTCCAAGTCTCAGTATCTGTGGGGAGCTGTGGGTCTCGGCCACCTGGAGGGGAGACGCAGCAGCTCCCCACCTGCACTTTCTGGGCGATGAGGTGGTCCAACCAGCCCGTGTCGATGTCGTTGTTCTGGAAGCTCTCTGTCTCCAGGAGGTTAATGAGATACTCCACGGTGGTCCGGAAGTCGCCCCGGATGGACAGTTCCTTCAAAGCCACCACCATGTTCCTTGAGGGGGATGACACGTGATTGTTTTCAAACGCCTACAGAGGTCCCACGCACTTTTCCAGAAGTAGTTCTCAAAGCGCCAGAAGAGCACAGGAGTTAAGATAGGGCCGCATGTCATTCTCAGCTCAGTGGTTACTCAGCCAGTCAGTAGCTGAGTAACCTTGGACAAGCGACTTGACTACTCTGGTCCTCAGTTACCTCCTCTGGGAAATGGGGAAATATCCTCGAAGTCACATAGGTGTTTGAAGATTAAAATGAGACATTCCATGTAAAGCACAGGGTCACTGACCGCCAAGAGTTAGCTGCTGTGAATGTGATTAAGTATCACTATAGTTATTATTAACTATGATGGAAGCTAATGGTTGGCAGGGTAAGCTCTGTAGTTGACACCAGGTCTGTCTCTCCTGGCTCTATTCAAGTCTCCTCTTCCCAGAGCCAGAACCACCTCCAGACACCCACAGGGCTGCTCCATCCAACAGGATCACGGTGCGCCTGCAGAGGGGGATCGCTGCTAGCTGTCTCAGGGCTGGGGGCCACTGGCAGACTCCTCAAAACACAGCCTCCAACTTCAAAAAGTGTTTGGGGGGAAATACATGAGAGGACGGCAAGGTACCGAACATACCTCTTCCCCACAAGGAACCGAGCCCCTTTGAACTAGCTAGGTGTAAGGAAGGGGTAATAACGGCCCCATTTTGGGGGTGAGAAAATGAACACACAGTGAGATCAAACATGGGTATGACTACACTTTGGGAAGCCAGGTATGGGGCTGGAACTAGAAGCTAGTGACTAACTGGTCCCTAGTCAAAGTGACTGACTGGTCTGTGTGCCTGGGGCATTCCCAGGGCAGCACTGAGAGGTTGATGCCCTTGGAAACCAGTCCCAGGAATGCAAGGCAGTTGATCCCTTATTGGACTGCAACAGCAACAGGAGAAGTTGGAATTATTCCCTCTGAATTCTGTTAAAGCTATGGTCAGTCCTGTACAGCGTGGGACAAGCCCCAGGTCATTTTATTTGGAGGGCACTGGCCAGCTGTACCGCCTCCCACCTCCTCCTTTAAGCCTTGTACACTGTAAATAATCCTCTACACGTCAATGACCTCAATTTGCCATTCGACATGATTAAAATGCAGTATTCAAAGCTGGAAAGAGGTCCAGTCATTAAAACTGCCAAATTCAATTAAATGAATTCGTGGCTAGGTGCCCTGGGCCAGATCCTAATGCTTTTTAAATGAAATATCCACAATGCCTTTGTGTTCTGTCACTCTGAAAGGCAGTTATCCGCCCAAAATGAGAATGTTTAATTACAAAGTAAGCTGGGTTTTTACCCTGCTGTACCCTTGGCAAGGCTGGAAAAATGTGAGACGTGGCATTTCAGAATTCGGGGTCCTTTGATCAGTGCAGGTTTCTGAGCGCTGCGGGAACTATGACGAATACGGACTTGGCTGAAGGGGGGACGCAGGCTGTGGTCACACCAGAACACACCCTAAGAAATTTAGTCTCAGCGTGAATACAGCCAAGAATGGAACTGGTTATGAGGGTTAGATCTCAAGCAGCTTCTGCACTTTTTCTCAGCTGTAATACTCAGAACCTTTAAAACACTTGGTATTACCTTGAATGTTCTTTAGGTCTCCTTTAAGTTAGACCTTGTATGAGCTCAACGCCAAACAGCTTTGGTGAGCCCATTTCTGCTTCTTGGGTTCTTCAATAAAGGAAGAGAATTTGTTCCTTTTTTTGAAACAGGGTCTCACTATGTAGCCCAGGCTGGGCTTGAATTTCAGATGAGCCTCCTGCCTCAGCCTCCCAAGTGCTGGGATTACAGGCATGTGCCACCACACCCAACTGAGAATTTGTTCTTGAACTTCAAGCAGAGAGGTAGTTAAAATAGGGTCTGCCTGTGATTCACAGCCTCGGTCTCCTAAAGCCATGCATTGAGGGATTTGGGGTTCTTACAGGAGGGAAGGAATGAAGCAAAAAAGGAAGGAAGGACTAGGGGAAGAAGGAGAGGCAAAGGGAGGAAACACAGATGGATGGACTAGGGGAAGAAAGAGAGAGGGAGGAGCAGGGAAAGCAGGGGGAGGCAGGCAGGAGATACTGACGAAATAGCCTCCTCCCGGTTCTCGCCCCAGGAAAAGCAGTGCCCAAACTGGGAATCCGCGAACTCGTGTAAGCCCCCTGTGGCAGCCACGCTGAAGTAACCCCACACATTCTTGCTGCTGCGGAAATTCAGTTCCTGGACGGTCCCGGAGCTCGGCTTAAAGCCCTAGAGTTCAGACAGGGGGAAAACAAAGTGGAAGAAATCATCACTCTAAATCTATTTGCATCAGAATTCAGTTCTAGGAAAACCCAAGAACCCTGACCACAATCAAAAGCTTAGCATGCTCGGTAAATATTGCTACCTCTTGCTACACCTGTGGGTGTAGCGATTTGTGGGGAATCCATTTGTCTCTAATTCTGACTTTTAAAAAACTGTAGAACAACAACCGAGCGTGGATGAGGGGAGGTGCCGATGTAATGTGGGCGAATTTTGATTACTGAGGGAGTTGGGTGAAGGTACGTTCTGGTTTTATACACGACATTTTAGATAATAAAACTTTAAATAAAAATAAAAGTAGGCGCTGGGGGCATAGCTCAGTAGTACAGCACTTGCTTAGCATGTGTGAGGGTGTGGGTTCCAGTCCAGGCACTGACACAAAAAAAGTAAGGAGTGCATAGATATCTAACTCTGGATGAAGATTTGGGCAAATGAAAAGACCTAGTGTACCCTGTGTGGGATCATGTATTATACACACACACACACACGATTCCATTCTGGAAGGTGACCCACCAGTGGGATCTTGCTGAGGGTGGGTGGACGTGGAACAGCCTCACTGGGACTAGGGTTCCAGAGTTAAGTAATGAGGCACATCCAGTTAGGAGGGGCCTGGGATCCAGTGAGACATGGGGAATTCCAGGTGCCTGGGCTGCTTCCAAACCCAGGTCTCCATCCTTCCAGAAACCTCTAATAACTCCCCAGCTCTCTGAGCAATTCTCAGTTTGCTCATTCACCAGAGGTGGTATTTAACTTGCAGAAATTCCAAACAGATATAGGTCCTATAGCTTAAAATTCTTTAATCAAGAGAGGCAGCTCTCTTACCCCAAGTTTCTTGACTGTAAGAATTAAAGATGTAAACATTACACAATGTCCACATATAAATCAAAAAATTGTGTTACCTCATTGATATGTACAATTTTTATGTTTACATGTATTTGTATTATATATTTAAATTATATGTACATATAATTTTATGTTAAATATATTACATTTTAAAAATTAAATAAATAAGCTGCAGTACACTAATGAGTTATGTGATAATCTATGTGGTCACTGAGCATGTGAACTGTGATAGATATCAGTTGGCTCATTTTTCAAGATTGAAGAACAAGTCACAAAATGATCAAGATTATATATATATGTAATATATAATATATATAATATGTATAATACATAAATTATATATATGGTTTGGCAGAATATAAATATTCCCCAAAATTAATGTGACTATCCTATGTCTTAAACATACACTAATAAAAAAGATCAAGTCACAAAAGGACTTTCGACAGTGGGACAGATTCTGTGTATATTATGGCAAAACACAGGCCACCAAAAATGCAAGGTCTTGGGCTCTAAACCTGAATGTTGGTCCGAAAGATGGCCAGTGTATTGCGACTGGGCTTGCCTGGCCTCAGCAGGTCCTGGCAGGAGGTACAGGACGAATGACCCCACCTCCTGGCTGTCGTCCGAGTAATAATGCCCAGTAGTAGCAGCACTGTCCTATAAGTAAGTACTAAAGTGCTGGGTGATCTGCTTGTGCCAGGCACACGTTATGTGACCCATAACCCAATAAACACACATGTCCCTTCGACTCCCCAGTGTCCCTGTATATACACAAAGAAGCTTGGACAACTGGTATCTCCTCCAAGGCTACCTTCAGGGTCTCCCCCAGGCTGGGAGGTCTGAAATGCTGGAAGTGCAGGGGCCCCACACTTGCCTCATCTGGATTTTCGCTGGTGATTCTGGCTGCAATGACGTGGCCACGGGCGAGGGGAGGGTTTGAAGGAGTTTCAAAAAAAATGGGCGTCACCCCCCATGGAGACTCTCCATACAGAAGCCGGATGTCCTTCAGCCTGTGCAGCGGCACACCCATGGCAATCTGAAATCGAGAAATCCATCCCACAGGTCAGTCCCCAGGATGCCAGAGGAAGAGGCTCAGTCAGTGATTTGAGACAGACTGAGGACAGAGCACCCATACACGCGCAGAGCTGTAGTATGGCACGACAGGCGAGATAAGACCTGGCTTCCCCAAAGCAAACAGTGTCATTGTGCAAAGAAGCACCCAGGAAACAGCACCGCACAATGCGACATGGGCCTCAAGGTCAAGGTACAGACTCTCAGAGCGAAGGAGAGAAGTGACAGTGCTGGATGCAAAGGGCAAGGGGGTTAGGAGGGACACAGGGAAAGCCCGAAGGAAGAACAAACAAAACCCAGGTACTCTGGACACCAGTTTAACCACAAGACTGATTTTTGACATTCTGTGTCTCTTGACCAGTGCACTAAGAACAATTCAAAATTGCCTCTGTGATATTCTGTCAAGATATAATCAAATCCAAATCAAGGGACACTCTGCCTGAACTTGTCCAAAATGCCAACATCGCACAAGGGTTTTATTCTCAGTACTGCATGCAATTAAAAAAAAAAGTCACTGTCAAGAATAAAAAAATAAGGTGTGGTGGTGCATGCCTCTAATCCCAGAACCTGGGAGGCAGAGGCAGGAGGATCACTGTAAATTCAAGGCCAGTCTGGGCTACATAGTGAGTTCAAGGCCACCAGATTACCTGGTGAGATCCTGTCTCAAAACAAGAATGAAAAAATAATACCAGGAAGAGTTCCAATTCATCTGAAATTTTTTAAACTAAAAAATACAAACAGATCAAATAAAACAACAAGAACTCCAGTGATGGAAGAGGGGGAGATGGGAAGGAAGGAGGAAAGGACAGAAGAGACAGAGGAAGGGAAGAAATGTTTAAAGATTTTTAAGAGTTCTTTGGGTGTTTGTAACTGTGGGTCAGGTGTTCTCAACAGGCTCAGCACTGTCCCCAAGGGGGTAAAAAAATTTTACTCTTTTTACGTACAAAGCACAGATATAGCACCCAAAGAGATACAGACCCATAATGACAAAGTTTCACCAGGAAAGGATTAGGAAAAAAATGTCCTTAGAGAGGCTGATGGCATGGTTTAGATCTACAGTGCATCCCCCAAAGTCTCAGGTGTTCTCGTGTCTTTGGAAAGTGACTGGCTCATGGGACACTGTGCTCCTTAGTGGACTGACCCACTGAGGAGTTCATGCGCTGTGAGGTGAGGCGCATGTGGATGGGTGAGTCACTGGGGAGGTGACTGGCTGCGTCCCCTCTTCTCCCTCTCTGCTTCCTGGCTGTCATGGAGTAAGCAGCTTTCCTCCACTACCCTCTCCTACCGTATTACTTCTTCCTTGGAGCCCAGCCAGTTATGGACTAAACATGCTGAAACTGTGAGCCCAATAAACCTTCCCTCCTTTAACCTAGGCGTCCAGTGTTTTGTCCTAGCAACAGGAAAGTGACTAACACAGTAAGAATCAAAGAAGGTTGGGTCTATGAATAGGTGTCAGGGGTCCACAAATGCTCAAGTCATATGAAAAATATTTTCCTAGGGAGAAAGTCTACCGCTTTTGTCTCTAATGGCTCTTGGCCAGACCAAGGAGACAAATGGCTTCCTGGAAGGTTCTTAGTTTTCACAGTTCCCATCAATACACATACCGTTGTCATTCCCAGGGGACAGCCAGCCAAAAAAGGGACAGGCCTAGGCCTCCTTCCTGGGATAGAAGAAACGCCAGGGCTGGGGCCCGCTTCCTCACCTGTAGCTGGGCAGCTGGCAGGTTGACGTCAGCAATCATTTCTGTGCAGGGATGCTCCACCTGCAGGCGGGGATTCAGCTCCAAGAAGTAGAAGCTGCCATCCTGGCTGTAGAGGTATTCAACTGTCCCTGCGCTCACATAGCCCACGGTCTTGGCCAGGCGGACTGCACACTACAGAGAACAGGAGACAGAAACCCACGATTTCCAGTGGTTTTCTCAGGTAGTTAGTGGTCACCAACTAGCATGTAGGACCTGCTACTTGGGAGCCTCAGAGTCAGCTGAACCAGCACATCTGTGAGCTGCTGAGATCACCTCCGGGAGGGGCCCCCTCCTCTTCTTCTTGGGCCCACCCGCCTTCTGGCCACGCTGGCTCAGAGCTGCCCCCACCCAAGCTTGGCAAAGCAAACCTGCTCCATGAACTCAAACACAGCAGGTGGGGCGATGGTGGCTGGCGCCTCTTCAATGATCTTCTGATGCCGCCGCTGGATGGAGCAGTCCCGCCCAAAGAGTGACACAGCATTCCCGTACTGGTCAGCCAGGACCTGGACCTCCAGGTGCCGGGCGTGCTGGGCCAGCTTCATGAGAAAGACGGGCGAGCCTGGAACCTCACTCTGCACCTGTGGGTAGCAGGGCCACTCAGTCTCCATGGGGAAACCAGCTGTGGGGGCTTCTAGAAGTTCTCAGAAGAGACCATCAAATAGCAGCTGTGTGGTTATAGGACCGCTCTAGGAATCTGCCCATTTTCAACCTTTGTGGTTCCTCTCTCAAAGACCTGACATCCTCATGTTTTCAAGTCAAACGTTGTGAAAAGGGCGAAATATCCCCACAGTCCTATTTCTTAAAGATAACGCACTGAGAGTGCAGTTCTGGGAGTCTCGTGTCCAGCATGATGACTACCACAGACAACAACATACCATATGCTTGAAATTTGTTGAGAAAATCTCAGGTGTTCTCACCAAGCACACACAAGTGGTAACCACGTGAGAGGATGGATCTGTGAACTTGACCAGATCCATCAAAGGTACATCTGACATTTGTACATTCCATTAAATGTCCACATAACAGAACATCATGTTTGGGGCCTTCAATATATGCAGGGTTTCTTGCATAATTTTATTTTTATGTACTACAAGTACATATTAATAAAGAAAATATAATAACACTCTTCTTACTTCTAGGAAGAATTAAAACAAAATTTCATAATGATATATGCAGTTCTACATGTTAATGGTTTTCTCCTACCTATGTAGTAACACACGTATAGAATATTTCTTTAAACAAAAATGGGGTCAGATCACACTCTTGTGCAGCTTTCCTTTACTTGATCACATGTATCCTCCCAGTTGGTTTTCCATGAGGAACTTATAGAGATACTTATTCCATCTTTTTTTTATTCCATCTTTTTAATGTCTGGAAGGCACTCCTTTACAGGGATAACAGCTAGAGATTCTTCGAGAAAGATGATGTGAAAATAAGCATTCAAATGGAATGATTTCCCTTCCCCTCCCTTTCTCTCTCTCTTTTTCTTTCTTTCTCTCTTTTTTCTTCCCTCCCCTCCCATCCCCTTCTGTCCCCTCCCTTCCCTTCCCTTCCCTTTCCTTTTCCATATTAGGAATTGAACTCAGGGCCTTTTCACTTTGTTTTGATGTTGGGTCTTGCTAAAGTTACTGGGATGACCCTGCACTTGAGATCCTTCTGCCTCAGCTTCCCATGTAGCTGGGATCACAAATCTGAACCACTGAGCCTGACTCGGGATGATTTCTAGGAGTCATCAGTGGGTAAAAAAGCGAGTTGAAATAACATATGGGATGATCTCAGTTACATGAAAACTCATGAAATAGAATTATCTGAACACCTATGTAAAAGCATCTCCAGTGATGAGGCTTAAAAAAGACCTAACCAGGAAAGAACAGCAGTTATATCTGAGAGACAGGGGGTTGGGTCATTCTCTCTGTCCATTCCCATCTTGTTTGAATCCTTACGATAAGAACATTTTTGTGTCAATGAAAGAACAGCGTTAGGGAGAGGCATGTGTGTGAGAAGGCAGGAGGTGTGTGGTGTGCTCTGTGATCTCTGCTCCCCTTTGCGGTGCCTCTAAAAAAGCAGCCTATCTCTTAAAAACTGAGAAGAAAGAAGCTTTGGAATCGGTACCACTTCCAATGCAACCTGGTATCTAAGACTGGATCCTGCAGAAGGGAAAAGCCATTCCAAGAGAAGACCTGAAATATGAATTCAGTCTGAGTTCGCTTAACAGAAACATTCCCAATGTTCATCTCTGAGCTGTGACAAACAGGAATAGTTCTGTGACCCGTTAACAGTGGTGGGAATGGGGTGAGGCTGGACAGCAACTCCCTGTGCTACTGTTAACCCTTTCCTGTGGATGCAAATTCTTCTCCCCATGGTCCACAAATCCCTGTACATCTCAACAGACACACCATGATAGTGAAGTTGCTACTTTCATTGTATGACATGCATTGCCAAGAGCAATATCATTGCCAAAAGCTTTCCTGTAAGCTATTTTCTAAGGTGTATTTGTAAGTTCTTATAAAGTGATTTAAGTCCTTCTTAGATCTTTGGGGGGGTTTTGTTTTTTGAGACTGGGTGTTGCTTGTATTTGCAGTACTCCTGCCTCAGCCTATCATGTGCTTAGATTACAGGTGTGCGCTACCGTGCCTGCCTCCCTATGTCTTTATGTAAGAAAATAATTCAGAGAAGGAGAAAAAAACTAAGTAGTAGTTATAGTAGGCTGGGATGGTGATGCACACCTGTAATCCCAATCCTGGGGAGATCGAGGTAGGAGGTTCATGAGTTCAAGACCAAACTGGGTGACTTATTCAGATCCTGTCTCAAAAGAAAGTTTTAAAAATCTGAGACTATAGCTCAGTGATAAAACACTTGCCTAACATGCTCCAGTCCCGGGATTCAATCCCTAGTACGGTAATTTTAAAAAATAGTTTCATAAATAAGTCTAGAGGTATGTATAGAATGTTGTGCCCTCATCAAAATAATTGTGAACACTGAAACAACATCGCAAATATTTTAATGTGGAAGAAAATGTAGTTTAGTCTTTATAAAATATACACAGGAATAAGGTCTAGAAGAAAACCTAGAAATATTATAATAGTTTGGTTTAAGAATGGGAAGGTAGTGGTGCACACCTATAATCCCAGCACTCGGGAGGCTGAGACAGGAAGAACACCATGAGTTTGAGGCTAGCTTGGGCTACATAAGCAAGTTCAAGGCCAGCCTGCACTACATAGTAAGACCCTGGCTAAAAAAAAAAAAAGAAAAAAAGAAAAAAAAACCAAGAATGAGAAGGTAGTCAGTACGATTTTACTTAAACAAGAGAAAGAACACACAAAATTTACTACATGCCTAGGCATGGGAGTATTAGGTGCCAGTAAAACCCTTCTAAACGTCAGTACTAACAGGCATAATATTTAAAACCAAACAAGAGTTTTGTATGATGGTGCACACTTGTAATCTCAGCACTCTAGTATGCTGAGATAGGAGACTGCAAGTTTCAGCCCAGCCCAGGTAACTTACTGACTGAGCAAAACTCCATCTCAAAATTTAAAAAAAAAAGACTGGAGAAGTAGCTTAGTGTGAAGGCCCTAGATTTAATCTATAGTAGCACAAAATGAATGGAAGAGAGAAAGAAAGAAAGAAAGAAAGAAAGAAAGAAAGAAAGAAAGAAAGAAAGAAAGAAAGAAAAGAAGAGAAAGAGAAAGAGGTAGAGAGAGGGAGGGAAGGAGAGAGAGAGGAAGGAGGACGGAGAGAAAGAAGGAAGGAAGGAGGGAAGGAAGCTAGCTAGCAGTAGCTACAAATAGGTAAATATATAATATGTTCCCACAATTAAAACAACCAAAAAATAAAGTAAAAACTGACCATCTAGAATATTAAAAACACCAAGACTCCTACAATACCTACACCTTGACAGGTAAACAGTCACAAGCAGGTATTCTGACCCTGTATCTATGAAATCCTTTAAAAATGCAGTGAGTCACTGAATCAAACCATCCATAGAGGCAGCGTAAAGGGCCGGGGACGTAGCTCAGCGGCACAGTGACTACCTGGCAAATGCAAGGTCCTGAGTACAATTCCCGATACCAAAACCAAAAAGGAACAAAAAGGCAAGTAGTAGTGTAAAATCAACACAAACCATGATGTTCCTTAACAATGTAAGTACATATCTGCGTCAAAATTCAACCCAGGGACTGGGACGCAGCTCAGCAGCAGAGACCTTGCTCAGCATGTGTGAGGCCTCGGGCTCAGCGCCCAGCACCACAACGTAACAACAAAACACAGAACCAGAAAGTACAAACACAGTTATAGATCCAACTCCTACAAAGGTCTTCCCCAGGGTTAGGGAATAATTACAACAGAAATGATCCAGCGATCAACAACCAAGCAAAACAATTCCCAAAACCCGGAAGAATACAAGCAAGAAAAGCTCACTTGTCGGAAAAGCATGGGGAAGTCCTCGGTGCTCTCAGCCTTGCGGATTCCTTTCCCTCCGCCCCCTTCGGAAGCTTTGATCATCAGTGGAAAACCAATCTTTTCTGCTGCCTGGGAGAAAAGGATAAACAGGCCTCTTGAGAGCTGACACAGGTGCCACGACCACTGAGGGAGGAAAAGGTTCTGGCGCCCCGGCCCCTCTTCATTTACCTCCAAGCCTTCGTCGACGTCTTTCACACAACCCCGGTCATAAACATCTTCCGGGACACTGATCTGCTTCCCCTGTTGCAGATCCTTCTCTGCCCACTCCACTGTCAGACCTGGAGCATCACAAAGAAAGCCCACTGTTCCCGAGGATGGCAGAAACACGTAGCCTAGAACCCACAGGGCCTCTCCCTGCCTAAGCTCCTGCAGACCAACAAGCCACACACCGTCCCTTTAGTGTCCCACAGCCAAGTGCTTTTCACTGTCTTAGCACTGACTCACCGTGAACAGGAATCAAGCTTATGAAATTCACTTCAAATTTTGGTCTTGAAGTGCCTCTATTTACAAATGACTCTGCCTTCTTTATGGCAGAGTAGTACTCCATTGTATATAAATACCACTTTTTCTTTATCCATTCATCTGTTGATGAGCATATGGGCTGTTTCCAAGATTTAGTTATTGCAAATTGTGCTGCTATAAACATGGGAATGCATATATCACTATGGTATGATGCTTTTAACTCTTTTGAGAAGATGCCTAGAAGGGGAATAGCCGGATCAAATGGAACCTCTAGCTTTAGTTTTTTGAGGAATATCCATATTGATTTCCATAGTGTTTGTACCAATTTACACTCCCACCAACAATGGACAAGGGTTCCTTTTCCCCCACAGCCTTACCAGACTTTGTTATCAGTTGATTTCTTGATAATAGCCATTCTTTCTGGAGTGAGATGGAATCTCAGTGTTTTAATTTCATCTCCTAAATGACCAGTGATGTTGAACATTTTTGCATATATTTATTCGCTGTTTGTACTCCTTCATCTGAGAAGTGCCTATTCATTTCAAGATGACCATTTCTGGATTGGGCCTTTGAATTTGAGGGAGTCTGATTTTTTAAAATTCTTTATGGATTCTAGATATTAGTCCTTTGTATCAGGAAGAGCCAGTAACATTTTTTTTCCATTCTGTGAGTTGTCTCTTCATTCTGTTGGTGGTTTCTTTTGCTGTGCAAAACCTTTTTAATTTGATGTGATCCTAGTTGTTGATTCTTTGTATTATTTCCTGTGCTATCAGGGTTTTGTTCATTAAGTCTTTGCCTGTACCTTTTCTTTCTTTCTTTCTTTCATTCTTTCTTTCTCTCTTCCATTCATTTTGTGCTACCACAGATTAAATCTAGGGCCTTCCACACTAAGCTACTTCTCCAGTCCTTTTTTTTAAAATTTTGAGACAGAGTCTTGCTTAGTCAGTAAGTTACCTGGGCTGGGCTGAAACTTGCAGTCTCCTATCTCAGCATACTAGAGTGCTGAGATTACAAGTGTGCACCATCATACAAAACTCTTCTTTTGTTTTAAGTATTATGCCTGTTAGTACTGATGTTTAGAAGTGTTTTACTGCCACCTACATGCCTAGGAATGTAGTAAATTTTGTGTGTTCTTTCTCTGTCTTCAAATGTTTTACCTATTCTATCTTCCAGCAGATTGTTTCAGTTTTTATATTTGATCTTTGATCTATTTCAGCTTTAATTTAGTGCATGGTGAGAGATTTGGGTCTAGGTTCAAAACTGGCATATGGACAGTCAGATTTCCCAGCATTATTTATTAAACAGCTACCTTTCTTCTAGTGAAAGTATATGCCCCCTTTATCAAAAATAAGGTAACTGAGGTGCTTGGAGTTGTTTCTGCATCTTCTAATCTATCTCATTGATTGTCAGGTCTGTTTTTATTTTTGTTTTTTCATGGTTGTTGTTTGGTTTGTTTCATTTTTGTTTTTTTGCCAGTATTATGCTGTTTTTCTCGCAGTAGCTTTGTAGTATAGCTTCAAATCAGGGATTGTGATGCCTTCTGCCTTGCCCTTGTTGCCCAGAATTGGTTTGCTATTCTGGGTTTCTTTAGGTTCTACATGAATTTTAGGATTGTTTGCTCTAGTTCTGTGAGCTATGCTACTCGTATTTTGTTTGGGATTGCATTAAATCTGCATAACAGTTTGGAAGTATGGCCATTTTCACTAAATTTGTTCTGCCTATCCAACAATAGGGTATGTCTTTCCATGTTTTGATATCCTTTTCATTCTCCTTCTTCAGAGCACTGTAGTTTTCTATGTAAAGGTCTTTCACTTCCTTCATTAGATTGATTCCAAAGTACAGTATTTCATTTTTCTTGATGCTATTGTAATAAGTGTTGTTTCTCTAATTTCTCTCCCAGTAAGTTTGTTATTTGTGTACAGGAATAGTATGAATTTTTAACTGCTGACTTTGTGTCTTGCTATGCTACCAAATTAGGCTGTTTATTCTAGGAGTCTTTTGGTGGAGCTTTTGGGGTCTTCTACGTAGAGTATCATGTCATCCACAAATAATAATTTAACTCTTTCCCTTCCTATCCGTATTCCTCTCTCTTGTCTAATTGCTCTGGCTAATGCTTCCAGAACTAGACTGAACGGGACAGGTGATAATGAGCATCCTTGTCTTGTTTCTAATTTCAGAGTGAAAGCTTTCAGTTTTTTTCCATTTAGTATGATGTTGACTATTGGTTTGTCATACATGGCTTTTAACAGATTGAGATAAAGACCATCTGTTCCAACTTTCTGTAGGGTTTTTATCATTAGTAGGCGTTGGACTTTTCCAATGGTTTTCCTACGTCTAAAATATTGCACTGTTTCTCACGTGAGAAATCTCAAGGGTAAATAAGGAGCAAAATGGAAGACAGATTGGGAAGTAGGAAGAACACACCCAAATGGGAAAAGGAACAAGGGAGGGGAAGGGGGAAGGGAAAGAAGGGGAAAAGGATTTTTTAAAAAAGAAGGAAAAAATGGGAACAAATTTCTGTAAATGGGGAAGGGAAGAAAGGTGGAAGGGAAAGGAGGGGAGAGGGAAAAAAAGAATTGAGAAATATTACATACAAGGACAAATTCCCTATGATAAATGTGATCATTACATATGGCAAATATGCACTAATGAAAAAAATTTTAAAAAAGGAAATTCAGACTGAGTCTATGGACAGCAACATCTGACCCTGAATGCAAAAAACTCCCAATTCTACCCTGAGGCGTCACCTATAATGGGAATCACATGAAGATTCCAAAACCATGTAAAGGCTTAACAAAGAAAAATAAATGTTCCAAAACTGGAAAATTTCTCAGTAGAAGAAAACATCAGGTTGAATAGTGAACTCCTGAGACATTTTCCTGTTTAGTTTTTAATTTGTCCTAAAAATTCCACTTTTAGGAATTTATTCTAAGATGATTACAAAGCATATATCGATTTAACAAAAAAGATTATCAAAGCTCCATTCCTTTGATTATTTTTAAAACTAGAAAACAAATTAGGAAAAAATCTAAATTATATAACTACAGAGGATTATTAAGTAAATTACAGTACTTCCATGTATAATCTATGCAGCATTTTAAATGATGCAAAGTATATTTACCGACCTAGAAAGATATTCAACAGTGGGGGTGAAAAGTCACAGTCTAAGAAATATAAGCTCTGACTTTTTTGACCAGGGATATAGCTCAGCGGCACAGCGCCTGTCTGGCAAGCACGAGGTCCTGAGTTCAATTCCCAGTAATAATATAAATAAATAAATAAATAAATAAAATAAAGGCTATATCTGCAAAAAAGGCTGAAGAAGTGGAAGCTACACTGAAATAAATGTTCAACACAGCCAGGTGCGGTGGCACACATGCTGTACTCAGCTAATCGGGAAGCTAAGGCACATGGATCCCAAGTTCAAGGCTTGCCTGCCAACTTAGCAAGATTCTGTCTCAAAATCAAATTTAAAAAGGCCCGGGGATATAGGTCAGTGATAGGGCACTTTGGCTAACATGTGCAAGGCTGTAGGTTCAATCCCTACTACTGCAGAAAAAAAAAAAGCTCAACACTGGATCATAGGATTATGATGATTTCTATTTCTTTTTCATGCTTCTCCTATTTTCTAAGTTGTCTACAATGGAATTGCACCACTTATATAATAACTTCACATTTTTAAACAAAATAATTTGAAAAAACCTACTCCAGTCCCCCTAACTGCCCACCTCAGCAAGACTGGGCTAGAAGTTTCCCCAAGGTGAAGCTGACTGTCCCTTACCACTTCCGCTCCAGGGCAGGGTTGGAATGTCGAGGGTCTGAGCCACAATGGTGGAAGCAATCTTATCTCCCAAGGCCCACATGGCCTCACTGGGGGGTCCTGAAGAATAAGGCAAGAAAAAGAGCAGGACCTAGTCAACCACAGGACCCATGAAGCCGAATACCAAGCAAGTACACAGAGGTCCCCACTGTCCAGGAATATAACTGCACGTCAGGAAAAAAACAAATCTGTTAGTCTGCTATTGCATCGGTCAACTTTTCACAACTGAACTGTAACTTTTTTTTTTTGGCATATGGAGTCTACACAAAATTCACTTTGAGGAAAGCCAAAAACTGGAGCAAGGGGGCAGGCTAGCACCCCAAAGAGCTGGACAGGGAGTAGCAAACTTGTTCTATAAAGAGCAGATACAGGAGACATCTTCAGCTTTGTGGACCCAATGGTTTTTGTCACAGTCAACTTTTCCAGGACAGTTGGCTCTCAGTTCCATTTGAATTCAGTACTTGAGTAGTCAGCGAATCACACATACAGTTTTTTTTTTCTTTTTTAATTGTATCTGCACCTAACATGCACAGCCTCTTTTGTTATTTCATAATGCAGTGCATGTAGCATGTACATCACATTAGGTATTTCAAGTAATCAAGAGATAATTTTAAGTACACAGAAGAGTGGGAGAAGCTCAATTCCTGAGTATACAAAGGCCCCTGGTTCAATTCTGGCACTGCTAAAACAAACCCCAAAAAAGTTTCAACTACACAGGAGGTTACATGCAAATACTATGTCATTTTACATAAGGGGCCTGAGTATTTGTGGTTTGGGTATCTATGAGGAGGCACGAAACCAGTTCCCCAAGGATACCAAGGGACGTGTGCACACATGGAGTTCATACATTACGTAGGCAAATAAAAGAGCTGAAACCAGCCAGGTACAGAGCTGCACACCTATAATCCTGTAATTCTGGGAGGCTGGCCCAAGAGTTTCACAAATTCAAGCAATTTAGCAAGACTTGTCTGAATAAATAAATGAATGAATGAATGAGGGCCAAGGATACAGATCAATGCAAAAGGCCTGGGTTCAAGCCGCAGTACCACGAAAAAAGAAAAAAGTCCTAAAACCAATGGATGCCATGAGAAAGTAAGTGTTGTTTTACCTAATATATGATAGAAATGAGAGGCTCTGGTTCCAAGAGGTTGACAGCAATCTAAAGCCTGAAAACCACACAGACCAAAAAGCTATCCTCTCAGAACCGGCACCTCAAACTTGGTCAGAAATCTGAACTTGGCTGATATCTTAGTTCCAGCAGAAACACTAGCCAGGGGCTTTGCTGGAACTAGCATCATCCCATTGTGATAACCATGATAATAGTTTCTATTCTAGCGGCCTGGCCAACTTACCCTTGGCCCCACCCATCCCTGGACCCATCTGCTACCCACAGTGAAAGGTGATATGGGAAAACAAACTGACCCCAGCTTTTCCAGGCAGCACCAGAAAGAGACTCTGCCCCAGGGTAGCCTCCCATCAGTGCTCTAATCCCCACACACGTGACAGACGAAGTGCATTGTACCTAAGAAGGCGATCCCATGCTTGCACAGCAGCTCTGGAAGCTTGGGGTTCTCAGAGGCATGGCCCCAGCCGGCCCATACTGCCTGCAAACACAGAAATGAGTGAACAAAGATCCTCCGTGAACCTGCCTCCCACAATACCAAAAGCTCTTTGCTGTGTTACATCAGCCTGTTCTGAACTCAGAATGGAAGCGTTCCAGGGTTCTGTGCATCGCTCCCACGAGGGCATGCTTGGGCTCCCTGGCCCAGTTACCTGCACGGGGATTCTCTTGGCGATGTCCACGATCAGCTCCACATTGGCGTAGTTGTTGTTGTTGGGCCCTCCGGGGACAGGGACGTACTGATCTGCCATCTTGATGTACTCTGGAATTCAACAGGAGGGAAAAGGGAAGAGAACTGACAGATGGAAGTCAACCGCTGAAATTGCAAGACGCAGGCACATTCCGGCCATGTGACGGCAATGGCCAAACCTGTGAGGATCTGAGGAACACTGACTATGATCTTAAATATGTGAAAATAAGTGAGCTCTGGACAAGGAAACAAGAAAGGAAGCAGTCTGGCAGGATGGTGATATCAGAGATGGGTTTTTAAAATTCCTAGAGTACGCAAAGTTTATCTTAATGTTGTGTTACCATTAAATAATACAACAAGCTGGGTACAGTGACACATGCCTGTAATCCCAGGTACGTGAGAGTCTGAGGCAAAACAATCACCCATTTGAGGCCAGCCTGGGCAACTTAGCAAGACCCTGTCTCAAAAAGTAAAAAGCTGGAGATGTAGCTCAGTGGCATCGCACTTGCCTAGTATATGTGATGCCCTGGGTTCAATACCTACTACCAAAACAAAAATAAAAATAATTTTTACATTGTGGTAAAAAATACATAACAAAATTTAGCACTGTAACAGCTTTTAGGCCCACAATTGAGTAGTTTTAAGGATATTCATGTCACTGTGAAACAGACCTCCAGAACTTTTTCTCTTTACAAATGTGAGATTCTATAGTCATGAACAACCCCCCGTTTTCCTTCCCTGAAGTCCCTGGCACCCACTCTTCTATAGTCTGTCCCTACGAATCTGATCATTTCATTTTTTTTTTTCAAGAAAGAGTCTCATTATGTAGCTCGCTGGTCTTCAATTCACTATGTAGCCAAAACTTGCCTTGAACTCATGGCGATCCTCCTGCTTCAACCTCCTGATTGCAGGTGTGCACCACCACACTCAGTTCTAGTTACTCTTATAAGTGCAATCACATGCAAGTCTTCTTGCAAGTGGTTTATTTTGCTTAGCATAATGTCCTCAAGTCCCATCCATGCTGCATCTTATGACAGATTCCTTCCTTTTTAAAAAAGTCTTTAAGGCTGGGCATGGCACTGCATGCCTCTAATCCCAGCACTTGGAAGGCTGAGGCAGGAGGATCTTTGTGAGTTCAAGACCAGCCTGGGCTACAAAGTGAGCTCAAGGCCAGCCTCAACTGCATAGTGAGACCCTGTCTCAAAAAGACAAAAAGACAAACAAAAAAAATAAAAAAGTTTTCAAGGGCCGGGGATATAGCTCAGCAGCATAAGCACCTGCCTGGCAAGTGCAAGGTCCTGAGTTCAATTCCTGGTACAAAAAGAATTTCATACATGTATACAGCACATTTTTATGATCTCCATCCCCCACTGCCCTTTCTTACATTGATGGAATCTCAATGTAATCTTGATTTGCATTTTCCCTCTTTGTTTCCTTCCTCTTGTCTATGAATAGTCTCTCTTCTATTTTCATGTCTTTCAGAGTCAACATATTAGGGAGAACATGTGATACTTGTCTTTCTATGCCTGGCTTATTTCACTTAACATGATGATCTCCAGTTCCATTCATTTTCCTGAAAGAACAAAATTTCATTCTTCTTTATGGGTGAATAATACTCCACTGAGCAGCTATACCACATTTTCTTTATCTATTCAGGTCTTAATGAGCACCTAGATTCATTCCATATGGTGGCTACTGTACATATTTTGTCCTGCAATACACTAAGGTATGCAGGTATCCCTACAGTATGCTGGCTTTAATTCCTTTGAGTATATACCAAGGAAAGGTGTAGCTACATCAAACGATAGCTCTATTTTTAGGGCTTTTTTTTTGAGAAATTTCCATACTGGCTTCTATAGCAGCTATAATAATTTCCATTTCTGCCTGTTTTTTAGATGGGTTTCCCCCATTCCCTACATCCTTGCCAGCATTTGCCGTTTTTTGTATCTCAATGACAGACATTCCGACTGGGGTGAGATGGAATCTCAATATAATTTTGATTTGCATTTTCCCAATGGCCAAAGATGCTGAACATTTTTTCCATATACTTATTGCCCATTTGTACTTCTACCTTTGAGAAGTGTCTATTAAATTCATTGCCTATTTACTGACTGGGTTATCTTATTTTTTAGTGGCTTTTGAGTTCTTACATATTCTAGATGTTAATCCTCGACAGAGAGTACCTGGTAAAGATTTCCTCTTACTCATTTGTTTATTCTTGCTATTACTTCCTGTGCTAATGGAATACTATTCAGAAAGTCTTTGCCTCTGGCCCATGGTTTCAAATGTTTCCCCTGTGCTAGCTTCCAGCAGTTTCACAGCTTCTGATATTATACCCAGGTGGGCCAGGAGGAACAGTCACGCTTGGATTTCTGTGTCTACACATAAAGTTCCACATCACTCATCTTCAGGATCATACAGAGAGTACACTTGTGTCAACCTTTGTCTTTGGCTTGAGCCTAATGTCTCCCAGTCCAAGACACTGCTCAGTGGCCATCCTTTCGTTACTTTCTTTGGTTTTATTGATGGGTGGGCTTTAAGGACAGATTCCTAGAAGCAGAACTTTTGACTTAAAGAGCGTGGGTATTTTATTTTCTCTTCCAAGGGGGTTAAAATAAAAATATTGTGTTATTCTTTAAAAGGAAGATAATCCATGATGCAAAATCAACATTTAAAAAACCAATAACTTTTCTATATATTAATAATAATAGTCATAATAAACTAGTTGAGAAAGAAATTGGGAAAATTGCATTCACAGTAACTTTAAAAAAAGCAGGCCCACCTGCTTCCAATGTTTGGCAAACACATATGTGTCAGACACCAGGGAGTTCCTGGGATGATAAAGTGAGTGTTCAGACAAGCCTGTCTGCGTTGAGTTTTTCTTTAATGTTAGAGAGGATAAACAAGAAAACAGACACAGTATCCACAGGCCTGAGTCACTGTCAGGAAGGAAATAAATAAGGTTCTCCCAGAGAGGCTGGGGGATCTCAGGATCAGAGGTTAAGGGGCTGCCATGCAAAGGACTTTGGGGAAAACCAGTCAAGAGAGTCCAGCTATGCCCAGGCCCTGCTACAGTAAAGTGTGAGACAGCGCAGGACCTGGTGATGGAAAGTAAGAGGCATGAGATAGAGTTAGGTGGCTGGCAGGGCCCTGGTCATATGGGGCCTTCTTGTCTGGGTAGGATCTGGAATGTTAGTCTGTCATGATGGGAGACCTGGTAAAATAATGCTCTCAACTCAAACAGACCAGGGCTCCAGTCTCACCTGTGTCACATGCTGCCTGTAGGAGTGGGCAAGTGATAAGTTTATATCTCTGGGCCTCAACTGTCTCATGTACAAATTGGGGCTGTGAATAAAAACCAAGGCCACATCTATGCGGGACAGAGCCCAGGGCTTGTGCACTGGGAGAGCTCAAGGGACAAGCTCCTAGTGAGGTTAGTGAACCAGGAATAACACTTTAACCTCTGAAGCACTTTAAGAAAAGGAGCAGAGGAAGATGGCAGAGTAGTCAGCAGCAGAGAAATAGCCTCTCTGAGATTTGCTGTCCAGATGCTGGAATATAGCAATGTGAGAAAGAGAAGGAAGGTCCTGAGGACCCAGAAAGGGTCTGAAGTGAAAATTGAAGCCCGTGGAGAGAGTGAAGAGAGAGACTTCAATGCAGAAGAAGAAGGTGGCAAGCAGAAGTTTCTCCCTGAGCCCTGACTCACGGCATGGGAGGGTTGACTCAGACCTGCAGACACCCAGTGACTACTGGCGGCCCCAGAGTCCTCCATGGAGAAATGCACCATTTTTCTAAGCTCCTCTTTTTTAAAAAATATTTTTTTCCCTTAAAAAAAAAAAAAAACTCTTTTCAGTTTTCTCTCCTGAGGGTAAAATCACCACATTGAACAGTGGAATAGAGCAGTGGACACAGTGGACTACAAAGGCTGGTGAGTTATTTGGGTTCAGATGTACTCCAGGAGAGGGCAATGGTCCGGTGCCATCTTGGAAAGGGGCCAGCTGAGCTCAGAACTCAGAGCAGCTGCGGGCTGGCTCCATCTAGTGGCTCTCCGTGTCAGGGTGAAGCTGACATCATTGTTCAAAGTGGCAGGAGGCCCACAGAGTGTTGCAGGTGGAACAAATCAGGCTCCAGCTTCACAGCTACAAACCAGCCTGAACCTCAGTGGAACTAAATGTGCAGGCTTGCTGAGATTACCCACTACTCTGCTGTAAATCTATGGCTGGCTGGTTGGGATTAGTCAGTATGGATCTTGACTCTGTCTGACCAATTTGTCCACCAGTGATAGCAGTGGACATTTTTTTTTTAAGTGAACCTTTTTTTTTCTTATTTTCTTATTATTTTTCTTTTTTCACTTTTCTTGCTTTTCTGTTCTTTTTTTCTTGATTGTTTCTTCATGGTTTTGTATGAGTGTGCACATTGTTTCTAGTTATTGTTGCTGTTGTTCTGTTCTTGCTTTTATTTCTTCCTTCTTGCTTTCCTTCCTGTCTTCTTCACCAGTTCCCCAAAGTTTGCAGGATCTTCCTTTGTCTTCCAGCCTTGCTTCTAATCTCTTCCTCTTCTTCTATTTATTTTTTTCCCCAACCTCTTTTCAACTTGCTCCCCTGAGGGTAAAATCACCACACTGAGGGCATATTTACTGTATACAATTTTCTGGTTTCTTTTAGATTTTGTTCATACTTTCACAGGTGGCAAATTAATAGTTACCTCAGTTTGTCATTTTCTAGGCTGTGTTTGATGTTATTGTTATTGCTGATTGTACTATGTTAGCCAAGGTGACATAATTGTTCTAATCAGTTATCCTTCCTGCTATGCCAAGACTGAGATTGTGTAATAGTTATAAAAAATATGATAGGCCAGTTCCAAAGAACCAGAGGATAGGTCAAAAGGCAGCAACTTCTCATTCTCAATAAAATGAAGAGGTAGGATCTTGAAAGAGACTCAATACCCAAAGGCCAGTTAAATCTGGAAGACATCTTTGAGAAGTAGTCATTTCCTAAGGGTGCTAAATACTAGCAATAAAGCTGGTTGCCATAAGCAATTTATAAGCATCAACCCAGGAATTAAACTTAAAA